CGAGCATTTACAGGCAAACAATACTATTTTGTAGCTCTAGAAGTGAAAAGAGGTGCTGCAGCAAAATAAAGAGCTTTTTGAACATTAAAGCATGGAGACATGTCCCAGTAGAGACACTACATACTGATATAAACCTGAACACTTTTTGAATATTTCCTCCTTATGATGAAGATGATGAAGCTTGCTGTCCTACAAGTCCCTGCAGGTTTATGTGTGAATAATCCCATGACCCCTGTCCTCTGCAGACCCCTGGATCTCTGCCTTCTTGATTTTGTTGGTGATATGTGCTCTGGTGGTTTTGGCCCTGATTCTCTACACTGGTTCCATATGTCTGACCCAGAGACCCCTGCCATCCGTCCTGGTGAGTAAAACAATCACTCTAGTTTTTGGTGGTGCAGAATTAATAGTAACAGTTCTTGGAAGGTACCCGGCTGCCCCCTCGTAGCTGAAAGGTGCATTACATTTGTTGTTTAAAAGTTTTTATTTTTGTCTCTTTTAGAAAGTGACAAATAGTCAGCAGTAATGACTACAAACTGAAATGTATATAAAAAAATGATTCATAAATGACTCCTTGAATAGGTAGTAGGTTTAACTGAATAGGTAGTAGGTTTAACTGAATAGGTAGTAGGTTTAACTGAATAGGTAGTAGGTTTAACTGAATAGGTAGTGTTTTGGTTTCTGCATTAATCATGTTGAAGGGACGCTGAACATTTTACATTTAAATTAGTAATAAGTCAAAGATTATTGGTGGACCTAAAACTGCTATGAGGAATGTATTAGTATAATTAATGGACAAATATTTGAGCGTTGAGACATATTGATAACTCCCTCCCTGAAATAATGAATGACAGACGGATAGTAACACGTCAGGGTCCGACACAGGTTTTTTTCGATTCAATCTAAAAAAAAGTCTTGGTTTTCAGAATATAAAACTATTATTGTTTAATTCAGGGATGCAGTGCCTCCCTTTTTGAAGGCTTTTTTCTCAAAATAGTGTCTCGGCTCAATATTTAGATTTCAGAATCAATTAGGATATCATTGGAAAGCTAGTCATCTCTTCCGTCCAACAGTACGTACAACTTCAAACGTCTTTCTGGGTTGAAATGCCTGAGTTTTAAATAGCAGGTCATATTATGATTCGTTGTCTGAGTATCCTGTTGGTCTGTACAGAATGTTGCATTTGTGGAATTGGATTGAGGTCAGAAAGTGGAAGATTGGTTTATAAAGTAACAGATTTCAGTGTTAAATGAAGCATTTAACATGGCTTTATATTAGGAGAACATCAGCTCTGAAAACAGATTTGATTTCCTTCAGCAAAGCGGTTTTTCAAAGTGTGAGGCGCGACCTCCCCTGGGGGGCACCAGAGAGCTTCAGGGGAGGCGCAGCGTGAGAAAAAAAAAACGAGAAACAGTGAAATCTAGCTTCAGCTAACTTTATGCAAGCGGCAACATGCTCCCCTGTCTGAATTATTATTTGACGGTTATTGCTGCTCCCGCTGTGCATAATCTGTGTAATAAGTAGCCAATAAAGCCCCATTTGAACCTTTTGATCAGGTTTTCCCCTTAAACTGTTATCAGCCAAAGTAGTATTACTTTTGGCTCTAATAGCAGCGAAAAGGGTGAGTGATTTGTCTGCTCTCTCTGTGGCTCCGTCATGTCTCCGGATCCAAGGAGATGGCAGTTCAGCTGTTTTACGCCCTAACCCGGCTTCTTGCCTAAGGTCATCACAACTCTTTTAGGTCAAAAGTGATCACCCTGGCTGGCTTATTCCCTCCTCCTCACAGGTCGGAGGAAGAAGCCACGTCTCATCTGCTCTGTTCTGTGCGCTGAGGGAGGCAGAAAGTTTGATATAGTGTATTTCTGGTATATTCATTTTAATGTCACCTCCTATATTCGTGTGTGTTAAATTTGAAGGGACATAGTACATTTTTCCTCTTTTAAATATAGCGCAAAAGCTTTTCTTCCACTTTTATGTGTAATCAAAGGGGTGTTTTTCTTGGCTATTTGTGAGCAGGTACAATACAAATTACCTTTTACATCTGCTTTGCAGTTCCCAGACCTCTGAAGAGGCCCTGAGTCTCTGGCTTCCTCTGTTAAGTGCTAAAACTATTATTGATTAAGCCAAAGGACATTTTCATCAAATATAATGCAGTTAAAGTCCTGTTAATGAGTGATTCATGTCCAGCATGCATTAGTTAAGAAACGATAAGAGTGTTGGTGTGTTGAAATGTACGTGCGTTTCCTGCAAGACTCTTTTCAGATCAGGAGATGATTGGGTCACACACAAGTTAGAGAGACAATGGTCCTTCTGATTCTAAAGTAAGCTGACTTTGGGGTGAAAGGAAGTTCACAGAAGCCATTACAGTTTTTCTCAATCGCTAAACCCACTATTTAGAATCAAAATTCCTTTCATCAAACCAACAGCACAGCCATCGAAACAGAAAACCATTTCTCTACAACAGTATACCATTTATCATTGATATCGCACAAAATGCAGATGCTAAGCAGTGTTTTGCAAAACAGATCACACAACTCTCTAACTGAAGTTACAATTCTCTACACAAACATCAAAAATCTTTTGTGTA